TCTTGTATACTCCTGGATAGAGCTGGAACGCATTCTATTAAATGAGGTATCCCAAGAATGGAAAGACGAGCACCACATGTACTCACCATCGAATTGGTATTAACTGATCAACACATAAGTGCACATGTAAGAATAACATCTATTGGATGTTGGGCAGGGGGGAGGGGGTAAAGGGGAGGGGCAAGGAGGGGACCGGTATATGCATACACAAAGAGTGCAATGCGCACCACCCAAAGAATGGACATATTTGAAACTTGGACTTGAGGGGGGAGGGTGGGGCAAGGGCAACATACGTAACCTAAACATCTGTACCCCCATAATATGCTGAAATAAAAAAAAACGAAGAAGAAAGAAAATGACCCTTGAAGGAGGACCCTCAAGGTCAGAAGTACATCTTTTAAAATCAGAAATCTAGACATCTTGTAAAGTATCCAGAGGTCCCTCCAATATTCAATTTCAATTCCCTTCAGCAAACATTTACTAAGAAACTACCATCTGATGAACACTTCTTGAGACTCAAGGCTCCAGGCACTGGGGATGTGGAAGTAACTAACACGCAGCCTCTGCCTTCAAAGGCTCACAATTGCATGCACAGACAGATATTTATATAAATAGCTATAATGCAGCATGATTAGCCTAGGGTGGATGGCAATTTTCAATCACTCATAACTGGATCAATTAGTTGGCTCAGAATGTCAGACAATTCCCCATGGTGACTGGCTTAGAGGGGACTGGTGCCTTTAATGATTTCCACCCGAGCGCATACAAGGCTGCAGGCATCTTATAAAAAACTGGGCTCAGGAAATTCTTTTGGGTGTTGGCTCCCACCCCATGCTCCATACTTTCTACCTATCTAGCCTCCAAAATCTCCACTCTTTGGTTTTCACACCTAGATTCTCCTCCTTGGCCCGAACCTTTCTCAGTGGTGCCACATTTGGCTATTTTAAAGAGGCTTAAAAAGGAAAACACTCAAACGGATTTGGAGTGACCTACTCAAGGCTCCTATCTTAAGAGGGATGAACCTGCAGTCAGTGCATATTTTAGACAAAGGATATACTTTCCCTTTTGTTCCACCGGATGGCAGTTTTATCACTCCCTGCCATTTTCCATTCTCAGTTTCTTTTATCTTAGGCCCTCATTTCAATGATTATGGTATAATTACACAGAGCTGGAATTCTTTTGCTTTACCATATTTGCTAGGTAGGCCTTATCTATTAACACCCAATGGTCTGAATATTGTTTTTAGTGTTAAAGAATTGAGGTATCCTGTCCTAAAGGGATGTTCTCCAATACTTCAGGACTATTGTATCCAAAACCCACATGATCAGGGAATGTCCTCCAAGGACAAATAACTTACAAAAGGGAATGAAGTTTCCATGTGCAGGCTCTTTTTTTCCTTCCTGACATTGACCTCAATACCCCAAAGTAATGAGAGTAAGATACAGAGGCCAGGGATGCTGCCAAGAATCTATATTGCACAGGACAGCCACCCACCACAAAGAATTACTGGCCCAAATGTCAATAGTGACAAGGCTGAGACACCCTGAGGGACATTACAATTTAAATATTGTTATCTAAAGTCCCCAAAATATAGTGATTCAAACAAGATAGAAATGTATTTGTTTTTGTCTGGGGTGGGAAGGTGGATCTGTAACAATACCCAGGTTCCTTCTATTTTGTTGCTCTGCATTCCACTATGGTGTTGTCCTTGTCAAATGGTTGAAGTTGGCTTTCCAGCCTTGCCTTAACTTTTTAACCCATGTGTATTAGTTTGCTAGAGCTGCCATAACAAAATAACACAGACTGGGTCCTGTGCAATATAGATTCTTGGCAGCATCCCTGGCCTCTGTATCTTACTCTCATTACTTTGGGGTATTGAGGTCAATGTCAGGAAGGAAAAAAAGAGCCTGCACATGGAAACTTCATTCCCTTTTGTAAGTTATTTGTCCTTGGAGGACATTTCCTGATCATGTGGGTTTTGGATACAATAGTCCTGAAGTATTGGAGAAATTTGCTTTCTCACAGTTCTGGAGACTAGAAGTCCAAGATCAAGGTGCTGGCATGTTTGGATTCTCCTGAGGCCTCTGTCTTTGGCTTGCAGACAGTTGCCTTCTTGCCATATTTTCACCTAGTCTTTTCTCTGTGTGTTCACATACTTGGTGTCTCTTCCTCATTTTATAAGGACACTAGTTATGTTGGCTTAGGTTCCTACCCTTATGGCCCCATTTAACCTTAATTACCTCTTTGAAAGCCCTGTTTCCAAATACATCATGGAGGGGGATCATGGCTTCAATACGTGAATTTTGGTGGGACACAATTTTGTCCACAATTCCATGGAAAAAAGGAAGGAAAGAAATTAGAGAAAAAATAATTTCACTTCAGAGATTTTACCTAGAAGTTACATAAATCATTCCTTTTCATATATCATGGACTATGACACAAGCACAACCTAACTACAAAGAAGGCTGGGAAATATATTCTCCGACTTGGTAGCAATGCAACCAGCTAAAAGGATTGTGTTCCTGTAAGGAAAAGGAAAGCTATTAAAGAAAAGGGAGAATTTTGGATACTGGGAAAATGACAGTTTGTTCTAAAGTTTTGATTTAGCATTTGTCCCATACACTATCTCTTGGATTCACTCAAAGTACCAGGGCCCATTGGCTAGTGATATCTATTCCTACATAAGATTCAAGAACTGCAGACACCATATCCATTTCTAGATTTTTTCTTTTCTTTTCTTTTTTTTTTTTTTTTAGTTCTTTTAATTTATAAGAGAGTCACTAAACTGCAGCCACCAAAAATATTTAGTATTTCCCCAGCAGTAGTTTTGATTCCAGGCAGAAGACATCATGTGTCATTTGTTTTGTTTTTAGAATTTAAGAGAATAGTGAGAAAGGCTCTGTGGTTAGGGAACTGGAAGTGAAAATGCATATGCTGATGTCCTTTAAATTAACTTCCTTTGTTGTCAAGTAACACTTGGATCTCTGTCCTTAATGACTAGAATCGAGATGTGGTTCTTTAAAGGCATAAAATTTGGAAAATATCCCTGGATAAAAGTTGCTAATATACCAATAACTATTATATATAATATGTATTTTAAGAATCACAATAATATAATAGTAATACACTTTATTCTAACATATATTAACTCAGTTAATATATTGACATTGAATGGTTATAATTCTAATTCTAAATTTCCAGGCACTTTATCCTGCAAATGGCTAAAACAAGGCCATCATCCAAGTCATTTGTGGAACTTCTATAATAGACTGTATTGATGTGAAATACCATTAAGCGTTAATGAGAGTTATGGAGCAACTACTGAGCTAAGAAGGCGACCTCTCACAACTCTCCAACTAGCACCAAAGAAAGCCAACTCACCGTTCTTCTTGTAGAACATAATTTCTCCTTTGAATTCTGTTTTTTCCTCCAGTGAATTTTCTATTTGAAGCATCAGTTGCTCGTTGGTTTCAACCCCAAATAGGAACTTGCAGCTACAACTCTTCTGCATGACTTCAGTGCGGGCAAATCCAGCAAGTTCACAGAAGCCATCAGAACAATAGACTATGGGGAAACCCTTAGCCACCTGGGCATTGGCAAGGATGAAGTTGCTATCTGTAGAAAAATAAGGAGAAGATGCTCATCAACTAAACGAGTGTGAGAAACTTTTTGTAAAGCACAATTCAGTATAAAATTATAAGCACATGTGTCTAGTTAACTCTTAAATTCATGTCCTGATGTGCTGCTGTGCAAAAGAGACACTCCAAAACATAAAATGGCATTGACCGGCAGAAGTATGTATTCAGCTCTGACTTTGGCTTGCATTTTGCAACACATTGTGTTTCCTCCACAGTGATCATTGGCCTGTTTTGAGGCACTTACCCTCTGGTTGGCAGTAAGGAATGATGCTTTTGATCATGACTTCTTGTTCATATCCTGAATCTGCCATGCAATGTATAGGTGAACTTGAAAGTTACTTAGGCACTCTAAACCTATTTCCCTAGATTTGATTGACCCAAAAGCAGATCCTGAGACTCTCTCCTGAGACTAGTAGTTTATTTGAGAGCTGATTCCAGGAAGAAAGCAAGTAGGATTTTGAAATATGGAAGTGAGGAAATGTAATAAAGGGTGAGTTAAAAAGGGGTCAACTGCTATGGACCACACACAAGTATCCTAGATGTGACTGTGAGGAACACAACTTAAGATTTTCCCACTAAGGGGAGAGAAAGCAGAAGTATTTATGCACCAAAGTCCCATACTTCATTGATTAAAGGTCGCTCTTGGAGTGTCAATATGTTGGCACTTCTGACCTACCCACTTGGGCTAAGCACATTCCCCAGAGATCATTAGGTCAGCAAGGAGTCAGAAGCCACTGGTATATAAGGAAATGGTCTATACATTATCTCAAGGTAACTCAAGGTAATATTGGCAGAGCACTGACAGGTATGCTACGAAGATAATGACATTACTTACTTTATAAGTGTGTTGTAGGGATTAACAAGATAATGCATAGCAAAATGGCACAAATGAGTACTCATGACCATCAATTTTTTAATTCATAAAAAATTACTGAGTGTTATTCACATGTTTCTGATTATTTTCTTAACAAACAAGAATTAGAAGGCAATCAGAACTGGTAGACTATTATTAAGTGCTTAGAGATAACCCTTGGAGGACACAGACTGAGAATCAATATTCGAAGAAGGTTCCTGAAGGATGAGTTTTTTGAGATTTACTTTGAAAGATGGATGCAATGTTTATAAGAAAAAAGTTGCATATTAGATATGGAGTTTAAGGTGAGGCATTTATAAAATGTGTTGTTGGGTGACTTTTAGGTTCATATAAATTACAGACTATTATTAAATCATTCATTCATTCACACATGAAACAAATGTTGGACATGTCAGCATATCAGCATACTAGAGGCTGGGATTTTTAAAATGATAAAAATAAAAATGGGAAGAACTACAAGGTGAGCTGTTAAATGAAAAAAAAGGAAAGATTCAATATTATGTGTTATTATATGAACCATTTATATGGTATATATATATATATATGAATATGTATACATATACCAAATATGAAATGTTTTTGTGTATCTAAAAATAAATGAAATAACTGATAAATGTGGTTGTCTCTGGAGAAAGCAACTAAAGACAGAGGTGAGGGGAATGCTTGTTTTTCCCATATGTCCTACTATACCTTTTGAATTTTATACCATATGCTTTATATATTGCCTATTCAAAAATAGTATGTTTAAAAGAGTTTGCAGCAGACAGCCTATCTCACACGCTACGAGAAAGGAGAATTTCAGCTACTTCTTGATGACCAGCAGGACAAGCATTGAAAATCTTTTCCATCAGTTTCCTCATCTCCTTTTAAACTTCTGCTGTTTGTTTCCAAACACAGTCCACTATCAGCTGGCAGAACTAAGTCCACTCTATTCAGCTTTGCTACGATCAGTTCCTAATCCCAAGAGTACCAATTGTAGCACAAACATCTGCATCCTGCCTCTGCCGAGCAGGCTCTTCCACCCTCCCAGTCACTCTCTCCCTCTGAAAGCCAGAGCTAAAGACTCGTATTGGGAAACCTTCAATTAGACATTGTTTTGAAGCCCTGGGAGTAAATTAGATCACCCAGACTAATAGTTAATTCTCTCACACTTTGCAGAATCATTTATTGACTGTATATTATGTATTGGACCTTGTCCCAGGTGTGGATAACAAAAAAGTTTATTCTATGTGGTTGATCCCTTAAAAATCACAGTTATGAACCTGTGAGAGTCTCCAGTGATGTCCAGAGGGGGGCACCCTCCTATTGGCTTTGTGGTCTCAGTCTTAACTCCGCACAGTTTTGGGTCACCCTCTAACCATAGTGTGTATCTCTTCCTCTCTCCATTTTAAAATGTTGGGTAGGAGATTGATTGGAAAATGCAAATGCATAGCATTGACAAAGTATTCAAATATCTGGAAAGAGCTTTTAACAATCTTTCAGAAGCCATTTTTCAGTTGACTGCTGACATGTTTATTGACTTTCTATTATATGATAATGCCAGGGGGCATGGTTCTACCACATAGCAGGTCCTAGGGTGAGGTGATGGGGTGTTTAAAAAAAAATAAGCATGATCTTTAGCTCTAGGATATTATAATTTAATTAAAGAAATGCATGAATATAAGCAACACTAAAACACAGCATGTAAGTTACCAAATCAGTGGTACACAGATAGTAAGTACTACTAGAGTTGAAAAATTAAACATCCCGGACTTTGAAAATGGTTAGCTTGGCATAAGACAAAAATAGGTGGAGATGACTTATCAAAAGTCCTCAAAATGTTAGAAGGAGATGCCTGAATAGAGCAAGCTCAGAGAATGAATTGGAGAAACAGGAATTGGAGACCGAATAAACATTACATTTTATCCTAAAATCCAATTTTTCCATTACTTATTCAGCCACAATAGTTTTATTTTGTTAATATTTGCCTGTTATACCTTTTCCCATAAGTCTACTTTCAAACCTTCTAGGGATTTATGCTTTAGTTGTGTCTTGCACATGGCATATATCTAAATTTTTTAAAAGTTCAATACAAAAATACATCCTATATTACATTGTTTTTTACCAACTTAGTTTGTCCATTCTCTTCACTGTTTTTGTTGTTTTGCCTTTTCCACTTTTTAAAATTAGAAAATATACGGTACCTAAATAAAGATTGTGTAATATTAAACAATAAACACCCATAGATCATTCATCCAGTATGCACCATGCAGACTATATTCCCTTACTTCTCCAAAGAAGAAACATACAAAAATTTTTGCAATAATCACTCCCATTTATGCAGTTTTTACCCCTACTTACGTATCCTCAGGCAACATATTGCCCATTTTTAATATTTAAAGAATATATAATGATATTTCATTCTGCATATTTCTTAGTGACTTGCTTCCTTTAATAATTTCCTTAGTATCTTTATAATTGTTTATGGGCATAAGAAAAATCAGTCATTCAAAGATACAATAAGCTTCTGAAAAAAGATGCTGAAGGATTCACCAAGTTGCCTGATCTGAGTGTTTCAATTAAGGATTACAGTGTATTTGAGGTAGTTAATTCTTTCTGCAAATATACTGCAAAAACAAGACAAAAAAATAAAGGCATGTATTTGGCCTTTTCTGTTTATATTTAGCACTTGTCCTCGATATGTAATTGCATTTCAATTCCAAAGAGAATTTAGTGACAATCTTCACTTCATAAGGCTTAGTGTACTAGCTACATGAATGGTCCTTTGTCTGGGAAAAGAGTAGCTCCTCTTGCCCAGCTATCTACTTGGAAACATATGCTTTTCTGAATACGAGGCCTGAAATCCCTAAAGAAGAAACATGACATTTACTTTAGAATTATGTAAAAACAGCCACAAAGCTGCTGCCATAATAATTACGAACTCATCATGGGTATATCACTATCCATACATATGCTGAGGGTATTTAACCTTTTAAGGAATCAATTATGCATATGTGATATGCATCTAAATGCCACGCAGCTTTTCTCTGCTTGTTTCTAGGTCATTTTCTTGTGTATATCCAGTTTGAAACTGACAGTAAACAGTAAGATCTAAATGCATTTACATATTAGGCAGTTGATAATTTCTCTAAATGCTTCCTCAGCAAAAAGCTTTCATGGATTGTCAGGGAGAACCTCACAATTGGTAAAGACCCAGGCCACTTGGGCTGACCTCCTAATATAGAGCACCACTTCCTATTCAAATGAAGATGTACTGTTTGTTTTTTTCTGACTTCCCAAGCACAAAGAGGATGGGAGTGGGACTGGGCAGACATAGAAGATGGAAAAAAAGAAAGAACGAGCAGAGGGCAAACATTGGCCCACTATTAAGTTGTTCCATCTTTGTACTTGTCACACTTTTCAGATGAGAACAAAGACCTGGAGAACTTTACTTTCGTGTCCAAGATCCAAAGCTAAGAATTAAAACCTGGTCTATGTGACGACTTACTTAACTCTACCATGCATTCTGTAAAGAAGTGACTTGCTTCTCTATGAGCAGGAGAAATGGGAAAAATATTTTTACCTATTTAGTCTCTAAAGAGCCCAAAGCCATAGATTTTTCTCTATAGAGATTATTTATTAAAAACTTATTATAGTGCCTTCTTAGCACAGCAGGCAGCATGTCAGTCTCATATTAAAAGTTTATTGATGACATCTTCTAAACCAAAGTGAATCTCTTAGCAAACTCCCTGTCACTTTGTAAATTTCCTCAAGAAAGTCAATATTTCAAAAATAGGACAGTAACTTCCATGCTCCCAAGGTATTTTGCATAGGCCTGCTCCACAGTGACACAGGAAGCACAGAAATGTAGTTTCTATTCAAATAATCTGGTTTCCAATCTCCTCATGTGTTTTTAATGTATATCGCAGCACTTCTAAAATTTTCCCACTGAAATATCCTTCTATGGGAATATACATTTATGTATATTCCAAGGGGCCTAGGGACATAGCCCTAAGCCCAATGTTGTTTTGAAATCTCTTAGTTAACTTAAAAATTCATCATAATTTTCCATTCCACCCTTTCATATATTCATGCTTATTTTAGTGTTTTTTTATTTTGTTTGA